AGAAACTCAGTTTAGGTGTGACTCAATTTGGGTTCCTGGGGTTTCTGGAAAGTTCTTCTTTGATCTTCTGGGAGAGTTTCTGAAACCCATTTACTCTCTCTGGTGAATTAAAAAGCATGAGGGCTCAATGTAGCCATCCTATGACCGTGAGGAAAGCCAGCCTTAGAATGAGGCCCACACAGAGACGGTGGAGCAGAGAGACAGGAAAAAAGCAAGACAGGAAGAACTTTTTCTTGATAAGATTATTGACTGGGTCTCTGGATCATCCAACCCTGTAGGGCAGCCTATCTGGTCTTTCTGCTGGATGAACCAACACGTTCCTTACTGTTTAAGCCAGTTTGAGTTGGGTTGTCTATTACTTGCTTCTGAAAACTTTCTAGTCCTCACACTGTGACAATGTGGCCATTTTAAAAATGAGGTAGATCAGTTTTTTAAATGAGGTAGATTTCCATATATGGATTATCATTTTTTAAAAAGCCCCTAGCCCTATTAATGAGTGAAAGTTGAATAACTTTATGATTCCACTTATGTAAAATTTTAAAAAGCACAATAAAATCATATATTTCTATACATATATAGAAACAGTTGCATAATTTATTTATTTATTTATAATTAATTTTATTTATTTATTTTTTTTGAGATTAGCCCTGAGCTAATATCTGCTGCCAATCCTCCTCTTTTTCCTGAGGAAGACTGGCCCTGAGCTAACATCCGTGCCCATCTTCCTCTACTTTATATGTGGGACACCTACCACAGCATGGTGTAGCAAGCAGTGCCACGTCAGCACCCAGGATCCGAACCGGCCAACCCCAGGTCACCAAGAAGCGGAACCTGTGAACTTAACCACTGCACCACCAGGCAGGCCCCGCATAATTTATTTTTAATTTAAATTTATGTATATTTGCTATGTTGAAAATATATGTAATGCCTATGTAAATTATGAAGCATAATAATAAAATGAAAACCAGTAAACTCACCCCTGAATTTATGAGCTAGAACATTACCAAAACCATTGAGGCTACCTATATTTTTTTTGCAGTCTCATCACCTTTGTTCCCTCTAGGAGGGAAATAGTAATTCCAAGAGGCAACCACTACCCTGAATTTTCAATTAATTATTCCTTTGATTTTAAAAAATAGTTTTATCACATATATATGTTTCTTTAAACAATGTTATTACTTTTTATCTGTATAATAATGGTATTGTACAATATATAGACTTCCGACTTGCTTTTTTCACTGAATAGCTCATGCGTGTAACTGCAATTTGTTCATTCTATTTTTATATAATGTTCATTATGTGACTTTTTGAAAATGTTATCCATTCTCTTGTCAGACATTTCAGCAATTTCCAATATTTTTTTCCTTTATGAATAACGGTGCTATGAATATTGCTGAACGTGTGTCCTGGTGCATATATGCAAAGGTTTCTCTATATAAACCTAGGAATGGAACTGCTGGGTCATAGGGAAAGCACATCCTTTATTATTCTAGGTTATGCCAAGGTGGTTGTACCAATATAAACTTGCACCAGCAATATCTAAGTGTTCCTGTTATTTTACATCCTTGTATTAGCAGACTTCTTAATTTTTACCAATGAAATGGCTTTAAAGTGATATCCTGCTATGGTATTGGCATTTCTATGATTACTAATAAAGGGGGACACTTTTCATATTTTATCCATCATTTGTGCTCCTCTGTTGTCCTGGTTAAGACACAGCTCAGGATAATAACTTCCTCCTGGAAGCCTTCTCTGACTTCCCCAGATTCCCAGCCTGGGCTAAGTGCTGCTACCAATACTTTGCATGTTTCTGTCATAACATTTCAACAGACTTTCTATTTTTGAAGTCTATGACCCAAAAACATATTCTAACTCATCACTTTATATGGAAAATTGCCTCTTTTTAAACACTTATTTCCTCTTCCACCCAATATTATTATTTGTTTTTCGATAACTTTAGAAGGTCTAACACAATATATCTATCTTCTATAATTACACAGATATTTTAATAATGCCAAGTGGCAGCTGTTTGAATTCACATAAAGTCTGCATCTTGATGACAAAGTAGCCTGAATTAGAGCTCTAGGCAGAGAGCTGGAGAAAAAAACTGATATCTGGCTGTTTAAAATTATTTTGTTGTATTTTAAAGATATTTTGTTGTGATTTTAAAAAAATCAGATATTAATTTTGTAAATGATATGTGTCTAGTTGGCCATTTAAAGGTGAATAAACACACGGTCCCTTCCTTGAAGGAACATAATGTCTAATAGGGAGACTATGTGAGAAACATGATTATCATACAGTGATGTACGCCCTGAAACGATGAAGCAGGAGCTAAAGCAACATGGCTGGAACTCTGGGAGACTGAATCTCATCAGGATCCTGCCTTAGCTCCAGCAGTTCTGATGACAGCTCAGGTGCCTCGACAAGTATTTGAATAATTTCCTCCTCCCAATGCAGGGCACAGAGATGCCTATTCTAGTGACCCTCTGTCTTTGATATGATTCACCATCTCTATCACTTACCATTCCATTTCTCTTTTACTATCAATTCATTGACTCCCCTACATCTCCAGTTTAAATTCTTGAGAGGATCTGCTTGGTCCAACTAAAGTATGTTTTTCCTGCTAAGGCTGTTTTCCTGACAGGTCACATGATATTCTGCTGACTGGTTGGGTCAGATGTGTCATAGCAAAAGGATCAGAAGGCACATAATATGGCCACCAATATCCAAATCAATTATCTATAGCCACTTTCCTCAGCAAGGGCTTGTGAGGAAAAACTCCTCAGGAGGTGCTTGACTGTCATTGCAGGTGAATGGCCTGGCTTATTTTCTACAAATGATATACAAGTATATCATTTAGGGCTCTTTCTGTTGAAGGGATAGAAAATTCATTTCAAACTGATTTAGGAAAAGGAATTTATTGGCATACATACTGAGATGCCTAGAAGCATAACTGGCTTCAAGAATGGCTGAATCCATGTTCTCCAATGATATTGTCAAAAATCTCTCACTTCTTAGCTCTGCTTTCTTCTCTGATGGTTTCATTCGTATGCCCAGTAGTTCCGAGCTTAAATCCTCCCAAATTTAAATTAAGTGAAAAAGATAGAGTTCCCCATCCCCACCCCCACGCCTCTTTTTAGTAGTATTCCTGGATGGGCTCAGGAACCAGACTGGCTCCGTTACTTACTAAATACATAAACTTGGGCAAGTTATTTAAGCTCTCCAAGCCTTAGTTTCTTCATCTGTATCAAAATAGTTCCTACTTCAGTGCGTTGCTGTGAGGATTAAAATTGCTGATATTTGCAAGATGCTTTAAAAAGTTCTTGGTACAATGTAAGGGCTATATTACCAGGCTTTGACTGGGTTATAAGTCTATCTCTGTGTCCTAAGAGGTATGGCTAGAGCTGGGACTTCCTATCTAAACTACAAAGATCTGGGGTAAAGGAAGGATGGTTTCTTTTTAGGGGATTTGGAGTGCCATTACCAAAGGCAAGGGAATGGATGCTGGTTAAACATAACAAATGTATACTACAGGAAAGTTAGCAAATTGTTGCTTGAGATGACTTCTCTCTAAGGTTTTTATTTTATTATACAAATTATACATGAATTTGTGTACAATGTTTTTAACAATACAAAGGGATACAGAGTAGCCTGAGAGGATTCCTGTGTTTATGCCTTTGGTTGTGAGAAAAGGTTACAAACTATTTGTAAAATGTAACTAGCGTTTGACTAGCACTTTCCTGAACAAACTACATCGCATGCATCAGTTAATTTAATCCTTGGAATAGCTCTTGAGAGTAGGTATTATTAGCCCTACTTAATGGTAAGGAGACCTAGCAAGCAGAAATACAGATGGATGTAAATTTTAGACGGTAATAATGTTACAGCCTTTCCCATTAGTCTCCCACTGCATTTTATGTTCTGTTGGTACTCCTATGTAATCATTTATTTCATTCGACATTTATTGAGCACTTGCTATGACCAGGCGTTGTTCTAGGCATTTCATTCACAGCCGCGAACAAAACAATCACTGCACTCCTTGAGTTTACATCTAGTAGGTAGGCACAAACCATAAAATAAATAAGAAAAATATATATTACAGTAGATGGTGGTAAGTCCTATAGAGTAAAATTAAATAGGAAAAGCAGATAGGTACGTTTCAATTTTATATACAGTGGTCAGAGTGTCAGCTATTCCACGTTATTTGCAGCTCCTCCTCAACAGGAGTAATATCTCAATCCCATTTACCTTCCTACTCCCAGCTCTTAGCTCTGCACCAGGGACTCAGGGAGACAATTTTATATTGAATAAATTATAAGCTTCTGAGAAGCAAGCATTTGAGAAACAAAGGCTTGTACATAGATACTGACCATAAAGTCCCTAAATTGTATAATCTAATCATTCGTGATTAGTTTATTTCCATTATGCTAATAAGTTAAATCCTTTTTAGCACGTTTACATTACAGAATGAAAGGTGTGTTAAATGTTATTACAGACCGTTTTAAGTATTTCAAATATCTTCTGGCCACCTCTTTTGGCCCCAACCGCGCGCATAATATGCTTTTTGTGCGTGTGCGTGCACCTTTTGAAAAACCATCACGACCTTTGCCAAGTATCTCTTGGTATCAAGCGTAGCTGTTTTCTAGGGAAAGATCAGCACTTGGGGTTTCTACTGAGTTGCTGGGTGATGTCCAGTTATCAGTCCACGGAACCTCAATCAACAGGGCAAGGTTCTAACACCCAAAACACAAACTACAAAAAGTGAGAAATCCTCTAACAGCCCTCACGCCGTGCCCAGCCGGAACCTTGACCTCAAGATGGCGTCGCGTAGTCATAAGATTCAATCAGCTCCAATCAAAAATGGCAGGGTGGGTCGTAATTTACAGCTTGAGCCTCTCTAGTCCCCACTAGATGCTCCTTCTCTATGGTTATTTTGCCGCTGCATGGTGAGTCAGAGCCAACAGTGAAGACTATCTCTATACGTACTTCTCTATGATTCTTCTCTCCACTCCCCCGGCCGCAGTGCACGCCGGGCAAGAGGAAGACCTCCACAGGCTCCCCGCGCAGCGCGGCTGTGTTTGCGGCCTGTGCGAGTAGGCGCTTCGGGAGCGGTCTACCGGTGAGCGGCGCGCAGAAGCCTCGAACCGGTGGAGCCCACTCGTAACCTGGAGCCCGGAAGGCCTTGAAGACAGTACCGTTTCCTCAGCGGCGGGTGAGTTCATGCCTTGAACGCGTGTGGAAACCGGGAGACCGGGTACCTCGGCTGGGGGAGGGAAAGCCGGGGAGGCTGCGAAAGGGCCGAGGTGGAATGGGGGTGAGGGGGGGCAGGGTGGGGGAGGGGACGGCACGAGGCTTGGGTTTCTCCGCTTCTCTGAGGCCTCGGAAACCAGTGGGCCCGTCAGGAGCCCTTGGCTGCCGGACCTACCGCCAGAGCTTCCCTCCTTGCATTGTCGCCCACTTTCCCTTTTCCCTTCCGTGGCTCGCCACACAGTGGATCGCCTCGGCCCATTCTGGGCTCCACGGTTGCCACAGAACAGTCGGTCAGCCGCTGGGGAGCCCTTTCCTGAGGCTCTTTTCTAGCCCGAGCCTGCGGAACCCCACGGTAAATTTCCGGGCCTAGGACACACTTGCCCCAGGCTCTGCCTGAAGCCAGCCAGCGCCCACCCTGTTTAGCGAGGTGCTGGCCACCAATGAATTTCTTTCCCTTCCTCTTCTCTTTGGTCATCTCGAGCCCGCCACCGAAGTGAGCTGACCCCCTACCCCACCCCGAATGTAGATAATGCCCACCCTTTTTAGCACTCTTCTGGGTTGCTTATCTAAGACTGTGATGAGTATCGTGGTCCTGCCCCCTTCCTCCATTGAAGGTTGCAGTAAACTGTATCTCCATTCATTCTAGGCGATTGCCAAGCTCCACATTAAAATGTGTTACTTTCTCACCCTTTGGTCTTCAATACAACTTTCTAAATACGTTTTTCGAAATAGATCTAGGAGTGTGAAGATTATTTTGAAGTTATGTAATATGGATTTATATTGCCATGGAAAAGCCGTTTTGATACTGGGCAGAGAGGAGCAGACCAAAAGAAGGGAAGAGATTGGACTTCTCTTGCACCAGACTGCTGTAGTGTGAAGGACTGTGAATTAGGTAGTTGGCAGTAGTGTATAAACAATTTTCATATTGTCTTGGGAGCTTTACGTTTTAAAAGATTGGTTCAAAAAACATTCAGAGATCTAGAAAGGCATCAGTTCCTCATGATTCAAGTAGACACTATACTATTCGAATTCATCTTATTGGTTGTTGGGATTGGGGATTAGTTGGCAAAAACGTGTGTAAAATCCTTGGTGCAATACGCAGGTAATGTAGTGTTTAGTCCATATTAACTAATATTATTTGTTGTTTAAGAATTTCCAGTGACGTACAGGAGCCTAACCCTGACTCTAACATTTCTTCCAGTGTACTCTGGATAGACTTTTATAAATAAAGTCAATCCTTAATAAGAAGTTTCACATTGGCATGTTATTACTAGAAAGAGGCATTGTGATACAGTGAAAACAGCCTTTGGATTGGGAATTTCAGGATGGGGGGACCTTAGAGTCCCTATATACTTCTGTGTTCCCTTGGACAAGTTAGCTTCTTCATCTGTAAAAGGAGAATAATAGATCTACACCAGGTAATTCGGGAGATTAAATGAGAATAATAAATGTTGAAGGCTTTTGTAAACAAAAGTAAATAAAAATGTTAGTTGATATTTTTGTTAAATAATCCATCTTCTGGGGTCACCAAATTTCCTTTTTGGTCCCCAAAGTGGATTCTTTTTCCTTTTTTTTTGGTAGGTTACCAAAACTTTTAGAAAGAAAATTTTATTGCCCCACTATTGGATATTGGCACCATACCTTAAAAATAATTTTGGCTAAGTTTTTAAAAATTTTGTGGCTTGCTATCTTTTTATTCCACTGTCTTAAGGCTCTAAATATATTTTTTAAATAAAATGAGTACATTTCAATATTGGGTAACTACTTCAGACTTAATGTAAGTTTGGGATTTTCAGTTTCCTTTTTTGGCCACAGACAGATTAACTACAGTACTTTTCTCGTTTACACGTGATTTATAACTTTGAATGCAAAAGTAATTATTGAATCTTTTAATGTCTTAGAAAAACATTGTTTATTTTTTTAATCTCTTGTTAGTCTTTGCTGCTACTACTACTGCCATTCATAAAAGAGGATTTTGATGGGATGCTCCTTAAAGTTTCTGAATAGCTTTTTTACCTTTTTTTTGAATTTTGAAACTTAAGAAAATAAAAACTTAATATTTCCACTAACCAGAATTATTGATACTGCTTTTTTCAATTTTTTATTTTGACTTAATTTCAAACTTAAAAAGATACAAGAATAGGACAAAGAATTCTCAAATACTTTTCACCCAGATTCCCCAAATGTTAACATTTTACCAATTGCTTCATCCTTCTCTTCCCTTTCCTCCATGATTTTCTTGTGAAATGTTTTGCTAGTAAGTTGCAGATGTGGTGTCCCTGCACCCCAAATACTTAGATGTCTGTTTTCTAAAAACAGGGATGTTCTCTTCTTTAACAACGGTACAGTGATCAAAGTCAGGAAGTTAATATTGATACAATATTGTTTAACCTACAGGTCTTAATTGGATTTTGCCTGAAATTGTCCTGAATTGGTATTGCTTTTTTTTTTTAAGGAGCGTTACCAAGGTGTAATTGACATAAAATTCACTTGTTGTAAGTGTGCAATTCAGTGATTTTTAGTAAATGTACAGAGTTGTGCAACCATTACCCCAAAAGGATACCTGTTTCCTGTTTACAAGTCACTGTGTTCTCACCCCAGCTCCATACTACCACTAATCTTTATAGAGTATTGCTTTTTAATCATTGAAAATGGTAAAATAGCAAAGTGGAAATCTCAGAAAAAGATCAGCTCCCTTTTTGGAGACTCAGAACATGAGTATTTTCTGCAACAAGCTTTCCTGTAAAAGAAACTTTTTGTTAATTGAGTATTTCCCATTCTTCTTTGGACATGGAACACTTTTTCCTAGGAATAGCTCCTGAAGACTCCAGGTGTGTGGAAATTCAATGTGAGAAATGGTATTTTGAAGGGCTTGCTTTGCTTAGGCTGGGGCAGTTATGTCAGTTCGTTGTACTTTGCAGGCTGTCAGAGTAGGAAACAGTACATGCTACACTAATAATTATTTATAGTCAATGTAGAGCCACTGGACTGGCTGTATAACTTTATATAATAACAACATTTGCTCTTTCAGAACTAGTAAAAATAATACTTGGAAAAGAACGTATCACATAATTGGAGCTAGATATTTATTGAATGAATTAATAAGTTGGATATGAGTGTTTGCTGTGGAGAATCTATCTGTTGGTTCATTGGTCTCTTACCATTTCAGAAATTTGACACGCAGTGTCTTGATGGAGTTAGCTTGTAAATCTATCCCTGATGAAATATTTTCTTTCTGTCGGGATAAATCTGCAGTGGAGGAATGCTTATAAGCAGTAATGGTATTCTCAGAGTGCTGGAAAAAAGAGTGGTTTAAGAGGGTAAAGAGAAAAAAGTGAAAAAGAGAAAAGCAGAATGCGTGTGTATGTTGAGTGGTAGAGATAAATCTTAGAAGCTTGGCTTTTTTTTTTTAACATTGGCACCTGAGGTAACATCTGTTGCCAATCTTGTTTTTTCCTTCTTCTCCCCAAAGATCCCCAGTACATAGTTGTATGTTCTAGTTGTAGGTCCTTCTGGTTGTGCTATGTGGGACGTGCCTCAGCATGGCCTCAGGAGCGGTGCCATGTCTGCGCCCAGGATCCGGACTGGTGAAACCCTGGGCTGCTGAAGCAGAGTGCACGAACTTAACCCTTGGCTATGGGGCCGGCCCCAGAAGCTTGGTTTTTTTAGGACCAAATTTATTGAGATAAAATTTACATACAATAAAATGCACTCATTTTAATTTCAGTGAATTCTGACAAATTCTTAAACCTGTATGACCACTGCCTCACTAGAGATAGGGAACACTTCGTCTTAGGTGCTTGTTTTTGTTACTTTGAGCCATAAAGTTTCATACTTAGCAAGTAAAAGTGCCTTGAGCCTTCTAAAAGTGAAGGACTTCTATTGAAATATTTTCAAGATGCTATTTAAGTCATTTCAGTACTAATAAAATAATGACTGCGTCTCTCTTTTTCTTAAACTCCACGCACAATCCCTCAACAATTGGATACCTTCAGAGTATATCCAGAATCTAAAACTTAGTTACTGATTTCACTGCTACCAGCTTTTCCAGACCACCTTCTCTTGTCTGGATAATTGCAGTAGTCTCTTGCTTCTACCCTTGTTCTCCCCCAGTCTTACCTTAACTCAAGTGGCCGGTGACACTTAAAATGTAAATCAAGTCAAAAACCTTTCAAATGTTTTCCATCTCAGAGTAAAACACAAAACCTTTTATAGTGGCCAACAAAACCCTACACTCTCTGAACCCTCTCCTCAAATAACACTCGCCATTTATCTCCGACTTTCCTCTACTTTTGAGTATTCTGCTCCATCCGTTGGCTTTGCTGTTCCTCCTGCAAAAACTCCATGCCCACCTAAGGCTCTTTGTTTTTGCTGTTTCCTTTGCTCAGAAGGCTATTGCCCCCAGATGTGAGTAGGGTTTCCTGCCTCACCCTCTTTCAAGTCTTTGTTCAAATGTCACCTTGATGAGGCCTGACCATCACGTTTAAAATAAAGCTCTCTCTAGCTCTCTTCCCTACTTCATTCTACAAAGTACCTACCAACTTTGAATATCTATATCATTTATTATAAGACAGTATTACACTTTATCGACTATCAGTAAAAACTGATGAACTTTGTTTCTGGTTATAAAAGTTTATTCTGAATCATTTTCATGTATGTCAAAACTAAAACTTTATGTTGAAATAAGTGGCTGATACTCTCGTTTTAGGATGTTTAAAGTGAACATTAGTGTTTATCAGAGATCACCAGAAATGTTTGTTTTCTGAATTTCCATAGGAGGAGCTATTATCTTATTAAGATTACCTTTACCTTTGAAGTTCATCCTATGAATAAGCAAGTTTTGAACAGTTCCAAGTAAAAGGGAAATACTTCATAGATAAATTAGAAGTGAATGGAATGTATATTGGCATAAACTAAAATTAAACATAATCTGGTTAACTCTTCACAGAATGAGTCATACATTTAAAAACCATGAAATAGTTTAAACACCAAGAACATAGAAGTTTTTTTTTTTTTTTAATGGTTTTTACATCCAGTACTTGGGAAAAAATGATTCTAAAGTTAAATTCTTGGCTTGATCTTTATAATTGTGAGGCTAGGCACTGGGTCATTGCTAGCATAGTACCTGGCATGTAGTAGCTTTTTTTCCCCCCACCCTTCCCCTATAGCGTCTTAATAAATTTATTTAATGAGGTCCTCAGAGTTTTATTTGTTTACTGATTTATTCATTGATTAATTTATTTATTCAACAGGTATTAATACCAACTGCCCTCCTAAGAAAGTGCTGAGATAGAGTATTATAATGATAATACAAGAGCCTCTGTAAGTAGGACAGCAGCCCTCTCTGTTTTAGAAGGAGATATGCTCCCACCCCCTTCCTTGTAGAATATTTGTTTTTGTTTTTGGGCAAAAAGTATTACAAAAAGATTATTAAAAAATTCAACACATTTATAATCTTAAATTAGTTGTATTTTTCCAATTTAATTTATGCTGATACCTACTTAAAATTTTAAAGCATTTCCATTACCTTATTTGCTAAGTATATGAAGTCATCCTAGTAATTTGTTTTACCTGTAAAGCTTTCTAAATATTTTAAGTGTACTGTGTTTTCTGAAATTGAAGTTTAGATTTTATAGAGTATTGTATTATCCTAACTTACTAAGTCAAAAGAACACTGAGGAAGAACAACTGTGAATCTGAAGGACATACGTTTCTAAGACTGTTTTAAAGAAATGTCTAGTAAACAGGTAAAAAAATGCTCAACCTCATTAGTGATTAGGGAAACGCAAATTGAAGTAAGACAGTAGTTTTTACCTATCAGATTGCTATAACTTAAGCGCTGATTTATTCCAGTGATGGTGAGGCTGTGAGGAAAGGGAATATCCATATATTGGTGGGAAGACTATAAATTTGTACACTAGTTTTGGAGGATGATTTGGAGGTAAAGTGTGGCTACGTGCAGTACTAATCTGTGTTATAAAATTACTTGCAAAGATGCATAGAGTTATATATCCAAGAGTGTTCAGCATTATTTGTAAGAGATAAAATGTGGAGCCAACCGTCAATGTTGGTTGAATAATTATTGTATGTCTGTATTATAATAGTTTGCTGCATTGTGAAGAACAGAACAGAACTTTATGGGTTGACATGAAGAGATGTTAATGATAATGAGGGAGAAATGCACACAACAATATAGTATGATTATATTGTTTGCAGAAAAACAGAAATGATTATATATTAGTTTGTGTCTAGAAAGATATTTAGAAGAATACAATGATATATACCAAACTGTTGGGATTTAGGGGGCAAGGAAATAGAAGACGACATGCACTTTTATCTTCTCTCTTCTGAAGGGTGAGTAAAACACTGTATTAAAACATGAAAAAGAAGAGTAGAGACAGATATGTATTTTTTATTTTTTTATTTCATTAAGGTCCTAATAGTTTATAACATTGAAATTTCAGTTGTACATTATTGTCAGTGACCATATATATGTGCCCCTTCACCCCTTATGCCCACCCTCCAACCCTCTTCCCCTCTGGTAACCACTGATCTGTTCTGTTTGTCCATATATTTGTTTATCATCCACATGTGAATCAAATCATATGGTGTTTGTCTTTTTCTGTTGAGACAAACATTTTTTAAAAGCTTCTAACAACTCTAGGCTCCTTCAGTTACAGAGCAGAGGTAGAGGAATTTATCCTAGTGTCCAACAAAAATATCTCCTGTTAATCAAATCATTATTTTTAGTGACATCATAGATATGACATCAACTCTCTTATTAATGGCTGCTTTTTTAAATTGGTGCATGGAATCCTCCTAGGACATCCTAACATTAGTTTTCTACTTTGCCCAGTAGTCTAGACACTTGAGTATGTTGGAAAAAAACTTGAGGGGGGAGGAAAAGTCTTAAATACTTCTATTCTCTTAACTAAGAGACAAAAATAAGTTTAAGTAATATCACAAACCAAATGAAACAGTTCGCTGTGTTCTTGTATTTTTAAAAATCAAATGCTGCCATCTGATTCTTGAATTTCATTTATTTGTTTAATTGAATTTCATTCAAGAATGGTTAAGTTTGCTTTTAAGTTTCAGAAAAATTATGACTTTTTTCTCATTGTCACAAATTATACATTCTCCTTATATTTGGATGGTTATAATATGAGCTGATGTTCAGGAGGTTTTTTCCTCCTCAGGTTTGTTCACTGAGACATTCATTTGTCTTTGAGGAACTGACCAACATTGAATCAACAAAAATGTGAAACTTTGTAAGTTTAGTTTTCAGGGTGCTGATGTGTATAAAAAATGAATGCATAAGAACACTTTTTTAAAAAACCCCAAAACTGTTAGATACCTCCTGGATTCTGAATTTGGTTTAGAAAGATTCGTTGATGTTTGGTATTTAATTTTTGGATATTAACTGAACCTCAAAATGTTTTTCTTCCTTTATATGTATTCCCATATGATTGTAGGAGTCTATCCTGAACTTAGATCCTGTACATTTTGGGAACTTATTTTAGAAAAGATCTAAGTTTTAAAAATTCTCAATGGACAGACAGAGAAAAGAGGGTCTTTGCCAACTCCTTTGGGTAAGAAAACTTTAGAATTTTGCAGATATTCTAAAAATGAAGGCCAACAAACCAGGCATATCAAATTGTAAAGTTTTCAAATAAAATGATTTGTCATGATTTCTTTCTTTAGACCGCTGCAGTAAGAATGTCTTTCCCCCCTCATTTGAATCGCCCTCCCATGGGAATCCCAGCACTCCCACCAGGGATCCCACCCCCGCAGTTTCCTGGCTTTCCTCCACCTGTACCTCCAGGTAAGTTTGTGGATACCGTTGTTTTTTTAACCTGTACTTTTGTCATTGCAATATTAACTTTAGGAACATGATAGGTATGTGATTCTGTTAGTGCTAAAGATGTCTTCTGTCCTCCTCCCGCCCCCCCTTCCCCTCTGGTGACCACCAGTCCAATCTCTGTCTCTGTGAGTGATTGTTGTTTTTATCTTCTACTTATGAGTGAGATCATATGGTATTTGACTTTCTCCCTCTGACTTATTTTGCTTAGCATAATGCCCTCAAGGTCCATCCATGATGTCAGAAATGGCTGGATTTCATCATTTCTTATGGCTGAGTAGTATTCCATTGTGTATAGACCACATCTTCTTTATCCATTTGTCCCTTGATGGATGCCTAGGTTGCTTCCAAGTCTTGGCTATTGTGAATAATGCTGCAGTGAACATAGGGGTGCACGTATCTTTACGCATTCGTGTTTTCATGTTCTTTGGATAAATACCCAGCAGTGGAATACCTGGATCATATGGTAGTTCTATTCTTTATTTTTTGAGGAATCTCCATACTGTTTTCCATAGTGGCTGTAACCAGTTTGCATTCCCACTAGCAGTGTATGAGAGTTCCCTTCTCTCCAACACCTGTTATTTCCTGTCTTGTTAATTATAGCCATTCTGATGCGAATGAGGTGATATCTCATTGTAGTTTTGATTTGCATTTCCCTGATAATGATGTTGACCATCCTTTCACGTGCCTGCTGGCCATCTGTATATCTTCTTTGGAGAAATGTCTGTTCACATCTTTTGTCTATCTTTTAATTGGCTTGTTTTTTTGTTGTTGACATGTGTGAGTTCTTTATATATTTTGGATATTAACCCCTTGTTAGATATCTGGTTTGCAAGTATCTTCTCCCGATACTTCTTTTTTTGTCGTCTTCTCCCCAAAGCCCCCCCAGTACATAGTTGTATAATCTAGTTGTGAGTGCCTCTGGTTGTGCTATGTGGGACAACACCTCAGCATGGCCTGATGAGCGGTGCTAGGTCTGCTCCCAGAATCTGAACCGGGGAAACCCTGGGCCACCAAAGCGGAGCACGCGAACTTACTACTCGGCCCTGGGGCCGGCCACCTCTTCTCCCAATTTTTAGGTTTTTTCATTTTGTTGATGGTTTCCTTTGCTGTGCAGAAGCTTTTTAGTTTGGTATAGTCCCATTTGTTTATTTTTTCTGTTGTTTCCCTTGCTCTGTCAGACATGGTACTTGAAAATATGCTGCTAAGATAGATGTTGAAGAGTACTGTCTTATGTTTTCTTCTAGAATTTTCATGGTTTCAGGTCTTACATTCAAGTCTTTAATCCATTTTGAGCTAATTTTTGTGTATGGTGTAAGATAATGATCTTCTTTCATTCTTTTGCGTGTGGCTATCCAGTTTTCCCAACACCATTTATTGAAGAGACTTTCTCCTTTGTATTTTCTTGGCTCCCTTTTTGGAAATTAGCTTTCCATAGATGTGTGCGTTTATTTCTGGACTCTTGATTCTGTTCCATTGATCTGCTTGTCTGTTTTTGTGGCAGTACCATGCTATTTTGTTTACTGTCGGTTTTAATATATTTTGAAATCAGGGAGTGTGATACCTCTAGCTTTGTTCTTTTTTCTCAGGATTCCTTTGGCTTTTTGGGGTCTTTTGTTGTATAAATTTTAGGATTCTTTGTTCTATTTCTGTGAAAAATGTTGTTGGAACTTTGATAGGGATTGCATTGAATCTACAGACTGCTTTAGGACATATGGACATTTTGTTTTATTTTATTTCATTTTTAGATTTTTTTTTTTCATTTTTCCTCCTCCTCTCCAAAGCTCCAAAGTATATTTTTTTTTAGTTGTGGGTCCTTCTAGTTGTGGCATGTGGGACACTGCCTCAGCATGGCTTGATGAGTGATTCTGGGTCCACGCCCAGGACCCAAACTGGCAAAACCCTGGGCCACCCAAGCAGAGCGCATGAACTTAACCACTCGGTCATGGGGCCAGTCCCTGGACATTTTAACTGTGTTAATTGTTCCAATCCCATATCACAGAATATCTTTATTTCTTTGTGTTGTCTTCACTTTCTTTCAGTGATGTTTTATAGTTTTTAGTGTACAGATCTTTCACCTCTTTGGTTAAGTTTATTCTTTTTGTTGTAATTGTAAATGGGATTGTATTCTTAATTTCTTTCTGCTACTTCGTTGTTAGTATATAGAAACGCAACTGATTTTTGTATATTGATTTTGTATCCTGCAACTTTACCATATTTGTTTATTATTTCTAAAATTTTTCTGGTGGATTCATTAGAGTTTTCTGTATATAAAATCACGTCATCTACAAATAATGACAGTTTCACTTCTTGCTTTCCAGTTTGGATCCTTTTTATTTTTTTTCTTGCTTGATTGCTCTGGCTAGGACTTCCAGTACTATGTTAAATAAGAGTGGTGAAAGTGGGCATCCTAATCTGGTTCCTGTTCTTAAAGGGTTTTTTTTTTTTTAACCTTCAAAGGATTTGTTTTTACTTTTAAAGATTTTATTTTTTTCCTCTTCTCCCCAAAGCCCCCCAGTACATAGTTGTATATTCTTCATTGTGGGTCCTTCTAGTTGTGGCATGTGGGATGCTGCCTCAGCGTGGTTTGATGAGCAGTGCCATGTCCATGCCCAGGATTGGAACCAACGAAACACTGGGCTGCCTGCAGTGGAGCACGCGAACTTAACTACTTGGCCAGGGGTCCAGCCCCCATTTTTTTTTTTTTTTTTGAGGAAGATTAGCCCTGAGCTAACATCAGCTGCCAATCCTCTTTTTGCTGAGGAAGAGTGGCCCTAAGCTAACATCCATGCCGATCTTCCTCTACTTTATATGTGGGATGCCTACCACAGCATGGCGTGTCAAGTGGTGCCATGTCTGCACCTGGGATTCGAACTGGCAAACCTCGGGCTGGCGAAGCAGAACGTGCGAACTTAACCACTGTGCCACCGGGCCAGCCCCTGTTTTTACTTTTAAAGGATTCATTGTTCACCCATAAGTAAATCTGTATTTGTGAAGGTTGGCTGGCTTTGAGGATGTACTGACCAAATGAACGTGAATTGATAACTATCCAGAATTTTATACTCCTTAAGCATATTGTGTTAGCCTTTTTGCTTTTAGAATAGTTTTTTGTTGTATGTCAGTTTTTGTAGACTGACCTGATGCTGTATTGCTTTTGAAACTAAGGCATTAATTAGTATCTCATTTTCTTTAATCCTACATTCCTATTTAAATGAACTATGAGTGAGGATATTCATTTGTATGGTATGTAGTTGATACAGAATGCAGTCATATATAATTATATTTTTAAGACTCAGTATACTTTTTTTTTTTTTTAGGGACCCCAATGATTCCTGTACCGATGAGCATTATGGCTCCTGCTCCAACTGTAAGTATAATTTTAAGGAGGAATTAGGAGCTATGGAGGTGTTATTGCTTTTAAAGCTAAAAAACTTGATAAACTCAGATAAATTAAGTGTTTAAAAGAATAATAGGAAGGGAGTGAGAGCCCCCATGTGTATCATGCTACTTATTTGAATAAGTTTTATTTTCATTCAGCTATGCATATATGCAATTGCCTCTAAAATATCCTCTCTAAGTAAATAGTTTTATGATTCCTCTCTTATTCTCTAGACTCTTCATATACTTGTTTTTTCAGATTTAGGACGTTGGCTCTGGCAACTTTCAGTCATCTCCTGGGAGATGGGAGAATGATCTGACATGTCTAATCTCTTAAAAGAGAGAAAAAAAAAATGTAGGAATGATCCTAACAAATTTAAATTTTGAAATGAAATTTGTGTTGCATGTATTTCTACTCTCTCCTCTTACCTACCTTTTCAAGCTGTTTTTTCCTGTCCTTTAGTATGATACCTTCAAGCTTTGTAAAGTTTTGCTGAAGCCTTTCCACTCCTGAAGTGTTTCATTATTCAGTCTTATGTCTTGAATCTTAATTCTCTACATTCATCAAAGATTCTGTACACTCTAACCATTTTAGCTAAGAATGCTAGTACACTGTAACACATGAATAAGTTATAACCCTGTTAACTTTTATTTAACCACAATTTTTCTTTGAGTTAACTGATAGAATATTAGGCTTCATTTGGAATTCCACTATAAGGGAGGGTAAATCTCATTACTTTCTACTGTTTTTCTACCTATGGGTTTTGAAAAGGGAGGGGAGTGTTGTTATTCTTAGTAAAAGGGCGATGGGAACTATGTGAGAAAATAGGAATCTGCTGACCACTAACTAAGAAGATATGGGGGATACCAAAGGGAGGTCCAGCTTTTCTTGCATTGGACACCCATTGTTTGGCTATTTTGGAAAACCTCCACGTGACAAGTACTTACTCTCTGGCATTTCAGCCTAGGAGAAGGTGGGGGTTGGGGTTGGAGCAACTCTTCCAGTTTACCACTACTTATTCATTGCCTACTGTGGCTATTTTGCTCAGTTCAGTTCCAGGTACAAAGATGAGGAAGACTATTCCTTCCGTTGGGAAGCTGAAAATTACAAAGGGAAAATAAGATGGAGAGAAGAGTAACTGATAAATTTAAATGTGGGGAGGGTGCTATGGAAGTACTTGAATATTGTGCAAGAGGATTGGCAGGGACAATTGAAATTTCCTTTTATATTGGTACAGAGTACAGTTGTGAAGAAACTGCTGGATATATTTTGGTAGTTTTCAATGGTTTATGATGTCTTAAACATTTAAAAATTATGTGTTAAACATAAAAAATTTCTATCCAAGTTTTTGAAAGAAAGGTAATTTAATAACAGAACATTACTTGTCATGAATAAGTTTACATTAATAACATGTTTTGTGCTTAAGAGCTTTTAAGTATGTAGAACCTTTAATAATAATGTATTTACTGCTTTAAAATTGATGTTTTTAGCCTAATGTTACATTAACATGATAGGAAATTTAATTACCAGATCAAATTTTATTGCCTTTCTTCAATTCAGGTCTTAGTACCCACTGTGTCTATGGTGGGAAAGCATTTGGGAGCAAGAAAGGATCATCCAGGATTAAAGACTAAAGAAAATGATGAAAATTGTGGTCCCACTACTACAGTTTTTGTTGGCAACATTTCTGAGAAGGCTTCAGACATGCTTATAAGACAGCTCCTTGCTGTAAGTTAAGCTGTTTGTTTTTCATTTTTAAAACTTTTATTGTTGTAAATTTCAAACTTATGAAAAAGCAGAAAGAAGACTGACTAATTTCTCCTTTTTATTTTGAAAAATTTCAGTCCTGCAAAAAGGTTGAACGAGTAGTACAGTGGATACCCTTGTAACACATTTTGCCCTGTTTATTTTCTCTTTACACACACATGCTACACACATTTTTTTCCTGAATAATTTGAGAGTAAGTTGTGACTTGACATTTTACTTCTGAACACTTCTTGTATCTCCTAAGACCAAGGACATTCTCCTACATGATCACAAAACCAGTATCACACGTAAGAAATTTAAGGCCGGTACAGTATTGTTAACTAATATACATATATTAGTTCATATTTAATTTTCCCAATAATTTCCATAATAGCTGTTTTTTGATTTTGAGCTCTGATCTAGTCAAGGATTATACATTGCACGTAATTGTCACGCCTCTTTAGATAGCTTCTTTTTTTTCCCCCCCAAATCCCCGCAGTACATAGTTGCATATTTTGGTTGTGGATCCTTCTAGCTGTGGCATGTGGGATGCCGCCTCAGCATGCCCTGATGAGTGGTGCCATGTCTGCACCCAGGATCTGAACCAGCGAAACCCTGGGCCGCCAAAGTGAAGCATGCGAACTCAACCACCCGTCCACCAGGCCGGCCCCTAGATAGCTTCTTTAATATAGAACAATTCCCAGCTTTTTTTTGTGTGCTCGTTTTGTTTCTTTCTTTCATGACATTGACATTTTTGAAGAGTCTGAGTCTTTTGCAAAATGTCTCTCCCAGATTGCGTTTGACTAATTGTTTGCTCATAGATTCAGAGTCAGCATTTTTTGCAAGAATGGTTCACAGGTGATGTTTTGTTGTCAACGCAGCATAACAAGAGGCACACGATGTGTCTTGGTCCTATTTTTGGTGCTAAGTTTAATTACTTGATTAAAGTGGGCAAATCTCTCCATATTTTATTTTATTTATTTATTTATTTTTGCTGAGAAAGACTGGCCCTGAGCTAACATCCACGCCCATCTTCCTCTGCTTTATACTTGGGATGCCTACCACAGCATGGCTTGCCAAGCAGTGCCATGTCTGCACCCGGGATTCGAACCGCCGAACCCCAGGCCACTGAAGCGGAATGTGCTCACTTAACTGCTGTGCCACCGGGCGGGCCCCTCCATTTTTTTTCAATTGAGTTCATAATAGTTTATAACATTGTGAAATTTCAGTTGTACATTATTATTTGTCAGTCACCATATAAATATGCCCCTTTACCCCTTGTTCCCACCCCCCAACACCCTTCCCCCCAGTAACCACTAAACTGTTCTCTTTGTGTATTTATTTTCCACATCTGAGTGAAATCGTACGGTGTTTGTCTTTCTCTGTCTGGCTGATGTTGCATAACATAATACAGTCAATGTCCATCCATGTTGTTGCAAATGGGACAGTTTTGTCTTTTTATTATGACTGGGTAGCATTCCATTGTATACATGTATATACACCACGTCTTCTTTATCCAATCATCAGTCGATGGGTGCTTGGATTGCTTCCATGTCTTGGCTATTGTGAGTAATGCTGCAGTGAACATAGAGGTGCATAAGTCTCTTTGTATTGTTGATTTCAAGTTCTTTGGATAAATACCTAGTAGTGGGGTATCTGGGTCATACCATATTTCTATTTTTAATTTTCTGAGAAATCTCCATATTGTTTGCCGTAGTGGCTGCACTAGTTTGCATTCTCACCAGCAGTGTATGAGTGTTCCTTTTTGTCCACAGCTTCTCCAACATTTGTTATTTTTTTGTCTTGGTGATTATAGCTCTTCTAATGGGTGAAAGGTGATATCTAAGTGTAGTTTTGATTTGCATTTCCCTGATGATTAGTGATGTTGAATATCTTTTCATGTGCTTATTGGCCATCTATATATCTTCTTTGGAAAAATGTCTGTTCATATCCTCTGACCACTTTTTGATCGGGTTGTTTGGGGTTTTTTTGTAGTTCAGTTGTGTGAGTTCTTTAGATATTATGGAGATTAACCCCTTGTCAGGTATATGATTTGCAAATATTTTCTCCCATTTGGTGGGTTGTCTTTTCATTTCGATCCGGGTTTCCTTTTCCTTGCAGAAGCTCTTTAGTCTGATAAAGTCCCACTTGTTTATTTTTTCTATTGTTTCCCTTCCCTGAGTAGACATAATATTCGAAAAAGATCGTTTTAAGACCGATGTCAAAGAGGGTACTGCCTGTATTTTCTTCTAGAAGTTTTATGATTTCAGGTCTCACCTTCAAGTCTTTGATCCCTTTTGAGTCTGTTTGTGTGTATGGAGAAAGATAATGGTCTACTTTCATTCTTTTGCATGTGGCTGTCCAGTTTTCCCAACACCGTTTACTGAAGAGACTTTCCTTTCTCCATTATATGTTCTTGGCTCCTTTGTCGAAGATCAGCTGTCTATAGATGTGGGGTTTTATTTCTGGGCTTTCAGTTCTGTTCCATTGATCTGTATGACTGTTTTTGTACCAGTACCATGCTGTTTTGGTTACTACAGCTTTGTAGTATATTTTGAAGTCAGGGCTTGTGGTGCCTCCAGCTTTGTTCTTATTTCTCAGAATTGCTTTGACTGTTCAGGGTCTTTTGTTGCCCCATATGAAGTTTAAGATTCTTTGTTCCATTTCCGTGAAGAACGTCATTGGGGTCCTGATTGGGATTTCTTCGAATCTGTAGATTGCTTTAGGTAGTGTGGACGTTTTAACTATATTTATTCTTCCAATCCATGTGCATGGAATATCTTTCCATTTATTTATGTTATTATCGATTTCTTTCAGTAATGTCTTATAGTTTTCATTGTATAGGTCTTTCACCTCCTTGGTTAAATTTATTCTGGATATTTTATTCTTTTTGTTGTGATAGTAAATAGGATTGTATTCCTGAGTTCTCTTTCTGTTAGTTCGTTATTAGAGTATAGAAATGCCATTGCTGTTTCTAAGTTGATTTTGTACCCTGCAACTTTCCTATGATTGTTGATTATTTCTATTAGTTTTCTGATGGATTCTTTAGAGTTTTCTATACATAAAATCATGTCGTCTGCAAACAGTGAGAGTTTCACTTCTTCATTGCCTATTTGGATTCCTTTTCTTTCTTTTTCTTGCCTAATTGTTCTGGCCAAAACCTCTGTACTGTGTTGATTAAGAGTGGTGAAAGTGGGCACCCTTGTCTTGTTCCTGTTCTCTGGGGGATGGCTTTCAGTTTTTCCCATGAGTATGATGTTTGCTGTGGGCTTGTCATATATGGCCTTTATGATGTTGAGGTGCTTTCCTTGTGTACCCATTTGATTGAGAGTTTTTATCATAAATGGATGTTGGATCTTGTTGAACGCTTTCTCTGTGTTTATTGAGATGATCGTGTGGTTTTTGTTCCTCATTTGGTTAATGTGGTGGATCACATTGATTGCAAATCTCTCCATTTTAAGGGTATCTTTTCTCCCTTTGTCATTAATAAGTAATCTTTTGATTAATATTTTGAGACTATATGAGTCCTTTTCTCTAGCAGCCTTTAAAATAATGATTTTAGCAGTCAATGGTGTTTGATTCCTTTGAAGTTTTTATTCTAAGCATAAGTAGTAAGTTCTTTTGACTTGGTAAAGTCATTGATTTTCTTTTTGTCTTAGTTTAAAAAATTTTATTCAGGTGATACATGCACATCATTAAGTGAAATAATACTGAATGATTTTATAATGAAAAATAACAGGGCTGTACTCACTCCCTCCATAATCTCCACTATTTCTTAGAGAAGTTATTTATTTAATTATTTTTGATGAGGAAGATTGGTCCTGAGCTAACATGTCTTGCCAATCCTCTTTTTGCTTGAGAAAGATTGTCCCTGAGCTAACAACCATGCCAGTCTTCCTCTGTTTTTTATATGGGATATTGCCACAGCATAGCTTGATGAGTGGTGTGTAGGTCTGTACCCGGGATCCAAACCAGCAAACCCTGGGCTGCCAAAGTGGAGTGCACAAATTTAACCACTGTACCACTGGGTTCATATACCCAGGTTGATATGGTATAAATTCGTGTACCATAAAATTTACCCTTTTGTTATGTACAATTCAGTAGATTTTAATATATTATGCAAGTTGTGCAGCTATCACTATTTTCTAATTCCAGAACATTTATCATCCCACGGAGAAACTCCGTACCTGTTAACAGTTACTTCCCATTCTCTCCTCTCCTTGGTACTATTGTAACTTCTGTCTCTATGGATTGGCCTATTCTGGGCATTTTATATTAACAGAATCATAAATATGTGGCCTTTTGTGTTTTCTCTTCTTTCACTTAGTATAATGTTCTCAAGGTTCATCTATATTGTAGCTTATATTGGTATTTCATTCCTTTTTATGGTCAAACAATATTCTATTTAATGGATATACTACATTTTGTTTGCCCATTCATCAGTTGGTGGACAGTTGGGTTGTTTCCACTTTTTGGTTATTATAAATAATGGTGCTGTGAATATTCATGTATGAAGTTTTGTAGGGACATATGTATATGTTTTCAATTTGAAATATCCCTTTTTTTTTTAAAGATATAATTTTTCCATTTTCTCCCCGAAGCCTCCCAATACATAGTTGTGTATATTTTCAGTTGTGGATGCTTCTAGTTATGGCATGTGGGATGCCACTTCAGCATGGCTTGATAACCAGTGCCATGTCCGCACCCAGGATCCAAACTGGCTAAACCTTGGGCCACTGAAACTGTGTGCACGAGCTTAAACACTCGGCCACGGGTCTGGCCCCTGAAATACCCCTTTTTAGAACCTGTTCTTGATTTATATGTGCAGCACTGTTTTGTTTTTAAGCTTTCTTTGGATTTCTGAGTTTTTTTTCTTTTGCTTTTAAGGCTTTTCTTAAATGGTGATCCTTGATTATTCATAATTAAGAGTTAAGGATTAAAAGGCTTTTGTGTGCATAAGCTGGGTTTATAAAATATTGGGTGTTGTTATAGGGTAATGTAGCTGGCAGCCAAAGGTTTTGAATGTTAATATGTGTAGGTCTGTTTTTTGAGGCTGGTTGGTTTCTCTAGATTGGCTGTGTGGAGTTGGGGGTTAAGGACAGAGTTGAAGCATTTCTTATACCTTTATTTTCTTCCCTTGTTACCTGCTCTGTGTCTCATCCAGATCTTCTTTCGTATCTGATGCTCTACATTTGAAGCCTGTTCTGTTCACTTTCTTCAGACTGTAGCTCTTCAAGCTGTCATCTCTGGGGATGAGGATAAGATAGTTATTTGAAAAGAACTCTTCAGAGTTCCTTCTCTGGGGACAGAGAAAGGGTAGTTACTTGAAAAGAACTCTGAGGTTTTGATGTTTCCAAATACATATTTTCTGGCAAGCACCTGTTTTTATTCAGCTTCATTCTTTAGCCCCATTCTCCATTGTGCCTTTTACCTCCAGTCCATGTCCACTTGGCTTTATAGAATCAGTTAGCCTAATTCTTTCTCATCAGTATCTGCATCTGTAGACCCTTGGAGAGGTTTCTTTGCTCTACTGAATGAGTCACCATCCATTTGCTTGCGTTTTGTCTTTTCAAAATTTTGTTGAACTCTGCTGCTGTTTCCTCATGCTGTATTTGACCTTCTGGGTTTTTATCTTTTATATTCTTTGGTTATTGTTTCAGTGGCCTCTCTGAAAGGAGATGTGAAAATTTCATGTGTTCTCTCTCAGCTTAGGCAATCTTCAGTTATCATTGTCCACAAATAACTTTTTTTTTTTGCCTTTTAGTTTTTACTTTAATACTGTAATTAGAAATGATATTTTAAAACTTTGAAAGTAAACTGTCTTAATATCCTAGCCTTCACACAGCCTGCCCTGTTAACATTTTGAAATATTTCTGATCATTTTTTGGAAATTTTTTTTTACATTGGTAAAATCAATGTTTATCTGCTATTTCGTATCTCTTGTAAGTTTTGCATCCCATATCAAGCAATTCTCTGTGTCATTAACAATCCTTTATAATATATACATGTGTTTTAAAACAATTCTTATGGACTTGAAATATTACTTGAATTTACTGTATAGTTTGTTTTAACTCTTATAATCTTGGGCATTTTGGCTTTTATATATACTTTTTGATAGGATAAATAATGCTGTAGAATTTCTAATTTACTAAAAGGTAGGCAATTTTCTGCAAATAAGAGTCAGTAAGAATTTATATTTTTCTTTAAAATTACTTGCTAAATTTCTCTCTTATAATAGATTTGTGAGAACTGAGAGAATTTTAAGAAACTTAGTTGCTGATGTGATCTTTTTTTCTATTTGGCTTCTGGCTTTTTCCCAGTGGGAATATAATTATGCTCTTATTTGCATTACAAATTAGTTTATTTTGTTAACTGATAATCTTTTTTTGTTTCTTTTTTAAGAAATGTGGCTTGGTTTTGAGCTGGAAGAGAGTACAAGGTGCATCTGGAAAACTTCAAGGTAGGTAATTTTTTCCTTATTTATTGAGATGATTTTAACCTATGTGCATAAATCGCTTTTTGCCTGTTTTACTCTCATTGTCCTTAATCCTGAGAGTATTCTATTAGCACTCTTTATCCTCCTTCTTATCGAAATAGGATTAATGAAAATTGGGACGATGTTGGCTGAGAGTTGAGATTAAGAAAGTGGAAAAGTATAACAGGAAGGAGGTAGGAAAGGAAAAATTATTCAGGCTAAGTGGTTTCTAATAAGATTTCTTTAAAAAGTCCTTTTTATTTGAGAGCAGGAGTGTATGATCAAGATGGAATAATTAGAATTTAGGAAGAAAGTAGGAGAAAAATGATGAAATGACCTGTTAGTCTTGAAAGCAAACTCTTCTTTTTGTACCTGTTAGTAGAAATGCCTGTTCCATATACAGTCTTTAAACACCTTTTTTTGGAGCGTGTGTGAGGAAGATTGGCTCTGAGCTAACATCTGCCAGTCTTCCTCTATTTTATTTGGAATGCCACCACAGAGTGGCCTGATGAGCAATGCTATGTCTGCGCTTGGGATCTGAACCTGCAAACCCTGGGCTGCCAAAGCTGTGTGTGGGAAGTTAACCACTATGTCACTGGGCCAGGCCCTTTAAACACTTTTTATTATGGACAAATTAATGTGTATATAAAATTAGAGTAGTATGATAAACTCCCATGTACCTATCACCTAGCTTTAACCTTTATCAACTCACGGCCAATTGTGCTTACCCTGTACCCTACCTATTTCCTCCTTAGATAATTGTTAAGCAATCCTAAGCACCAGATCATTTTGTCTATAAATATTTTAGTATGTGTCTCTAAAAGATAAGGGCTTTTAAGAAAACATACCCAAAATACTATTATAGGACCTAAAAAAATTAACTTTTTCTTAATATCATTAAGTCAGTGTTCAGATAGCCAACCTTTGGTCAATATCCAGTCAGTGTTCAGGTGTCCAGTTGTCTCAAATGTCAGTTTTTTAATTGTTTGATTCATGATCCATCGAAGGTCCACACATTGCAATTGGTTGTCATATTTTTAAGTCTCAATATTTTAAGTTCTTCTCTGTCTCTTTTCTCTTGCAATTATTTATTGAAGAAACTGCATCATTTGCACAGTAGTGTTTCTGTAGTCTGGATTTGCTGATTGAAGCTCCAGTAGAATAATATACCACGTACCTCTGTCCTCTGTGTTTTATGTAAACTGATTGGTAGTTGTATCTTGAGACTTGGTCAGATTTGAGTTTGTGTGTGTTATTTTTATTGATTCTTCTATTTGTAAGAATTCTCTAAAGGTAGTGTCCTTCCATCAGGAGACAAACTGGGTTACCTTTTTTTTAATGGTAGCAGCTGTTTATTGTCAGTCCCTAGGTTGATCCATTCATTGGTGGGTTGCAAAAAAGGTCTATTTTGAAGAATTCTATCATTCCATCAAAGAACAAATCTTCATTTATTAATAGAATACTTATGTAAAGATAATCTTCCCCTTCCATCTAATGTTTGATTACTTAGAGGTACAATTTATATAAGAAAAACGGGATAAACGCTTTGGTTCTTCCTTTCACTTTTCAAAAGAATGAGCGTGTGTCCTCGCCATCCTCTAGCCATAACATTTTTTGTTTTTTGTTTTGTTTTTTAAAGAACCATTTTGAACTTATGGGTTGAAGCATATTCAATTTGTTGTTATATTTAATATGGATTAATTTTTTTTATTGCTAGTGAAGCTTAAATTGTCTTAAGTTGCTTCTGTTGGATCTCCACTGGTTTTGACACAAACCTAGTGCCTTTGTTATATCTAACTGCCTTGTTACGTAGAACAACAAGATATTCCAAGCTCATCTAGTAGTTTTTCTGCCCCAGACTTGGGATCAGCGTTTCTCCAAGGAACTCTGGTACCTTTTAGTGGGAAATTACTTTCAAAATCAGTGTGGGAGTTAGATGTACTCATTGTAAGAGTGTTTTTGTCTTTGCTTTTACGTTTTTCCAGTGTACATTAATTCAAATTCAAGATTGAAAGGTGTTTGTTTAACCTTTCTGTCATATATTTATTTTCTTTTCTCTCACACTGAGAATCCTGAGTTGCTAGGACACTGGGGATGATGGACTATTAAATCATCACTGGCTTGCTTTAGCTCACATTTCACATGCAGCAATTTCAGTTTAATAACACCAACACTGTCATCAATATGATTATTGAGATTTTCTTTTTCATTGACAGGTCTTTTTGTCCTTAGGATATATCGCACTAAAAATGTATGGATAAATTTACTGTTTTAAAATCATTCAGAGTTGTTCCTCTCTGTATGGTTATGTCATTAACTCTATACATATTTGGATTCATTTGTTTGATTTTATTTTCAATTTTTAGATTACTCTTTAAATTTAGTTTTGTTTTAATTATTTGATTTGAAGTCATAGTAATAATAGTGAGACTAGTTATTAAAAAGAAATAAGTGTAGAAAAATTTGACTGGTAAGTAGGATAAAAGATTAGTACTTTTGTAGTTTAACATCTCAACATTGAACAGTGCCTTATTTAGGTTCAAGCAGCCTGTTCTCACTTACTTGTAGCTATTTAGAAATTGGGATGTAATGAATTTGTGAAATAATTAAAAGACTCAATCATGAAATTTGCTGATTTTGCTAAATATTTTATCAGCACTTCTAATAAGTAGCAGTTTGCCTGATTAGAATTTTTCTTCATTTCTTGTGTTTTGTTTTCTCTTTTTTCTTTTGGTTATCTGAGGGTGCTAAAAGTGAAATTTTCATCAGAGATAATTGAAGGAAAGGGAGGAGTAACAACGTGAATAATCCTTACACTAGAACATTTGGTCTCTAGTGATTTTAATTTTCCGTAAATAGTTTTCATCTTTCATACTTGTATTGATATTTCACTAATTCTTTACATCCATTGCTAGCCTTTGGATTCTGTGAGTATAAGGAGCCTGAGTCTACCCTCCGTGCACTCAGGTTATTGCATGACCTGCAGATTGGAGAGAAGAAGCTACTTGTTAAAGTTGATGCAAAGACAAAGGCGCAACTGGATGAATGGAAAGCAAAGAAGAAAGCTTCTAATGGGGTATGTTTTCTATAGTATTATCTTCTCTAGGTAGCTGTGCTCTTTCAGGGCAAATACTGCTCATTATAAATGAATCTAGGATGGGGCTTCACAAGATCACCATCATCATCATATGTGCTTGTGGCTAAAATGCAGGAGGGTGTTTATATAGTTTATAGTTATTTTAAGTCTTTTGTCTACCCATAGTGGGTGGATGACTGTTGGTTTGCTTGTTCCTGGTTGGGATGAAGGTAGTAAGGGAGGCTGGACAGGTTCACTTGCCAGAGAAAACACTGGTACAGACTATTCCAAACAGAGCTAATTCAGTAAGGCAGCTTTGTAAGTAAGTACAAAATATGTTTCAACCTACACAATTTTTATTAGTTGCCCTCTCTTTTAGAAGTACGCAGATTCTGAAATCAATGAAAGTAAGTCTTAACTGCTTTCCTCAGGTGGGTGGTTATATTAAGTGAAGGGAAAGTAAAGGAAATTTTTGTGTGTTGTGTCATAATGTATGCATTATTACTCCTTCTCAACAAAGCGAAAAATAGGTAAAACCCGAGTATGTATTTCTTTGTTTTCCCTTCCTAGTTCCTTTTGGCACCTCAAGATGAACGGATCCAAAATAGATTTATTATTACCTTCCTGTCTCTACAAAAATAAAATAACCTTGACGTTCTTCAGTCTTTCATTATCATTCAAAATAGAAGTAGCTTTATTGGTTACGTCCCTCTCCCCTTATACAAAAACATTGTGTGTTCTTTGTAAAAAACCTCATAAAATAAAGCAAACTATATAGAAATTGAGTGCCAGCTGTAATCTTATCTCTATTAGTAACCACTCGAGACATTTTTGTTGCATATTCTTCAAGACATTTTTCTCTGGATGAATATAGTTTTTTTTTTTAATTGAGTTATTGATAGGTTACAATCTTGTGAAATTTCAGTTGTACATTAATGTTCGTCAGTCATGTTGTAGGTGCACCACTTCACCCTTTGTGCCCACCCCCCACCCCACCTTTCCCCTGGTATCCACTAAACTGTTCTTAGTCCATAATTTTAAATTCCTCATTTGAGTGGAGTCATACACAGATTATCCTTCTCTCGCTGGCTTATTTCACTTAACATAATTCTCTCAAGGTCCATCCATGTTATTGCAAATGGAATGATTTTGTTCTGTTTTGCAGCTGAGTAGTATTCCATTGTATATATGTACCACATCTTCTTTATCCATTCGTCTGTTGCTGGACACTTAGGTTGCTTCCACGTCTTGGCTATTGTAAACAGTGCTGCAATAAACATTGGGGTGCACAGGACTTTTGGGATTGCTGACTTCAAGTTCTTTGGATAAATACCCAGTAGTGGGATGGCTGGATCGTATGGTAGTTCTATTTTTAGTTTTTTGAGGAATCTCCATACTGTTTTCCATAGTGGCTGCACCAGTTTGCATTCCCACCAGCAGCGTTTGAGGGTTCCTTTCTCTCCACAACCTCTCCAACATTTGTTGCTATTAGTTTTAGATATTTTTGTCATTGTAAGGGGTGTAAGGTGATATCTTAGTGTAGTTTTGATTTGCATTTCCCTGATGATCAGCGATGATGAGCATCTTTTCATGTGCCTATTGGCCATCCGTATATCTTCTTTGGAGAAATGTCTGTTCATGTCTCCAGCCCATTTTTTGATTGGGTTGTTTGATGTTTTGTTGTTGAGTTGCAAGAGTTCTTTATATATTATGGATATTAAGCCTTTGTCAGATATATGACTTGCAAATATTTTTTCCCAGTTAGTGGGTTGTTTTGTTTCAATCCTGTTTTCATTTGCCTTGAAGAAGCTCTTTAATCTGATGAAGTCCCATTTGTTTATTCTTTCTATTGTTTCCCTTGTCTGAGAAGGCATGGTGTCCGAAAAGATCCTTTTAATACTGATGTCAAAGAGTGTACTGCCTACGTTTTCTTCCAGAAGCCTTATGGTTTCAGGTCTCACCTTTAGGTCTTTGATCCATTTTGAGTTTATTTTGGTGAATGGTGAAAAAGAATGGTCAATTTTCATTCTTTTACATGTGGCTTTCCAGTTTTCCCAGCACCATTTGTTGAAAAGACTTTCTTTTCTCCATTGTATGCCCTCAGCTCCTCTGTCAAAGATAAGCTGTCCATAGATGTGTGGTTTTATTTCTGGGCTTTCAATTCTGTTCCATTGATCTGTGCACCTGTTTTTGTACCAGTACCATGCTGCTTTGATTACTGTAGCTTTGTAGTACGTTTTGAAGTCAGGGATTGTGATGCCTCCCGTTTTGTTCTTTTTTCTCAGGATTGCTTTAGAAATTCGGGGTCTTTTGTTGCCCCATATGAATTTTAGGATTCTTTGTTCTAATTCTGTAAAGAACGTCATTGGGATTCTGATTGGGATGGCATTGAATCTGTAGATTGCTTTAGGTAGAACGGACATTTTAACTGTTTATTCTTCCAATCCATGTACATGGAATGTCTTTCCATCTCCTTATGTCATCATCCAATTCTCTCAGAAAGGCCTTGTAATTTTCATTATATAGGTCCTTCACTTCCTTAGTTAAATTTACCCCAAGGTATTTTATTCTTTTTGTTGCGATTGTGAATGGTATTGTGTTCTTGAGTTCTTTTTCTGTTGGTTCATTACTGGAGTACAGAAATGCTACTGATTTATGCAAATTGATTTTATACCCTGCAACTTTGCTGTAGTTGTTGATTACTTCTAAGAGTTTTCCGATGGATTCTTTGGGATTTTCTATATATAAGATCATGTCGTCTGCAAAAAGCAAGAGTTTCACTTCTTCCCTCCCTATTTGGATTCCTTTTATTCCTTTTTCTTGCCTGATTGCTCTGGCAAGGACCTCCAGTACTATGTTAAATAAGAGTGGTGATAGAGGGCATCCTTGTCTCGTTCCTGTTTTCGGGGGGATGGGGTTCAGTTTTTGCCCATTGAGTATGATGTTGGCTATGGGTTTGTCGTATATGGCCTTTATTATGTTGAGGTAGTTTCCTTCTATGCCCATTTTGTTCAGAGTTTTTATCATAAATGGCTGTTGGATCTTGTCAAATGCCTTCTCTGCATCTATTGAGATGATCATGTGGTTTTTGTTCCTCAGTTTGTTGATGTGGTGTATCACGTTGATTGATTTGCGGATGTTGAACCATCCCTGTGTCCCTGGTATGAATCCCACCTGATCCTGATGTATGATTCTTTTGATGAATTGCTGAATTCTGGTTGCCAAAATTTTGTTTAGAATTTTTGCATCTATGTACATCAGTGATATTGGCCTGTAGTTCTCTTTTTTCGTGGTGTCCTTGTCAGGTTTTGGTATCAGCATGATGTTGGCCTCATAGAATGTGTTAGGAACAGTTCCATCTTCCCTAATTTTTTGGAATAGCTTGAAAAGGATAGGTATTAAATCCTCTCTGAAAGTTTGGTAGAATGCCCCAGGAAAGCCATCTGGTCCTGGGGTTTTATTCTTTGGGATGTTTTTGATGGCTGTTTCAATCTCTTTCCTTGTGATTGGTCTGTTCAAATTGTCTGCCTCTTCTTGAGTGAGCTTTGGGAGATTGTAGGAGTCCAAGAATTTATCTATTTCCTCTAGGTTATCCATTCTGTTGGCATATAGTTTTTTGTAGTATTCTCTTATAATCTGTTGTATTTCTGCAGAGTCTGTTGTTATTTCTCCTCGCTCATTTCTGATTTTGTTTATGTGAGCTTTCTCCCTTTTTTTCTTTGTAAGTCTGGCTAGTGGTTTATCAATTTTATTTATCTTCTCAAAAAACCAGCTCTTTGTCTCATTGATCCTTCCTACTGCCTTTTTCGTTTCAATAGTATTTATTTCTGCTCTGATTTTTATTATTTCTCTCCTGCTGACTTTGGGCTTCATTTGTTCTTTTTTCTCTAGTTCAGTTAGGTGTGCTTTAAGGTTGCTTATTTGGGATTTTTCTTGTTTGTTAAGATGTGCCTGTATTGCGATGAATTTTCCTGTTAATACAGCTTTTGCCGTATCCCATATGAGTTGGTATGGCATGCTATCATTTTGTTTCCAGGTATTTTTTGATTTCTTCTTTAATTTCTTCAATGATCCTTTGCTTGTTCAGTAGTGTGTTGTTTGGTCTCCACATCTTTGTGCCTTTCTCAGCTTTTTTCTTGTAATTAATTTCTAGCCTTATAGCACTATGATCTGAGAAGATGCTTGTTGTTATTTCAATTTTTTTAAATTTGTAGAGGCTTGCCTTGTTTCCCAACATATGGTCTATCCTAGAGAATGTTCCATGTGCACTTGAGAAGAATGTGTATTCAGCTCTTTCAGGGTGAAGTGATCCACATATGTCTATTAAGTCCAATTGTTTTAGTTTTTCATGTAGCTCCACTATTTCCTTGTTGATTTTCTGTCTGGATGATCTGTCCATTGATGTGAGTGGGGTGTTGAGGTCCCCTACTATTATTGTGTTGTTTTTAACATCTTCCTTTAGGTCTGTTAATAGTTGCTTTATGAATCTTGGTGCTCCTGTGTTGGGTGCATAGATATTTATAAGCGTTATTCCTTCTTGATGAAGTGTCCCTTTGATCATTATATATTGTCCCTCTGTGTCTCTCTTTACCTGTCTTATTTTGCAATCTACTTGGTCTGATATGAGAACTGCAACACCTGCCTTTTTTCCCTTGCTATTTGCTTGAAGTATTGTCCTCCACCCCTTCACCCTGAGTCTGTGTTTGTCCTTGGGGCTGAGGTGTGTTTCCTGGAAGCAACAAATTGTTGCATCTTGTTCTTTAATCCATTTTGCCACTCTGTGTCTTTTTATTGGAGAGTTCAATCCGTTCACATTGAGAGTGATTATTGATGCATGTGGACTTAGTGCTGTTAATCTGTCGCTCATTATCTTGTTTTCCTGCATTTCTTTTCCTGTTTGCTTTAGACTACCCATTTAATACTGCAATTTCTTATGCTGGGTTTCTTAGATTTTTCCTTATTTATGATTTGTGACTCTGTTCTGTAGTTTATTTTAGTGT